CCTAGCTGGTAAAATCTGCAGAATTCTAATCTTTTAAAACAAATTCTCACGTTGCTGAGTAACGGTTTAATACAAATGTGGCGTTGCCACTTCAGCAATAATTATATTTATTTATTAAATAACAAGATATTACAGTACATATGTATCTCGCATAACTCAAAAACGAGTAGCCTCAGAATGTTGACATTTTGTATATAGCAGGGGTTGTCATAGGTGTAGTTTAAAGTGGGAGAAGGGTGTAAAATACATTCAGTGTTTATACACTGTGTTTCAGTATAAGGATCATTCCAGCGAGACATGGGTGGATAAGTAAAATATGTGTTCAAAACTAATTTTTAAATTGCTTTCTTATTAGGCTCATGAAGAAAAAAAATTTCCAAACCCACCTTTTAATAGCAGCATTCCTTACATGCGGTACCTAAAAAATTCGATTTTCCTACACTTTTTCAAGATAGATTTTTACTAACTTAAAATGCAATTTAATTTTTTTATCTACTGCTATGTATAAATTGTACTATGTGTTCGTTAATATGAAAAAGTTTATTATGCACTTTGATTCAATATTTCCTTTTCTGGGGCAGGAGAATTTATCATGAAAGAAACATGGCTTTCTTTTGCTAATCTCAATAGCTTTCTGAGCATACCTCATACTGAAATATTTTTTTTTTCAATAGCGGGCACTTGCCTAGGTTTATCTATCTACGTAAAAAAAAAAAAAAAAAAAAAAAAAAAAAAAAAAAAAAAAAAAAAAAAAAAAAAAAAAACAAATATTTAAAGATCTCAAAAACTCATGTCAAAGGAAAAGAACACGGATAATTATTAACAATATTTATTAATTCAAAGTAACTACAGATAAAGGCAGATTTATAATTTATTATTAGAATTCCCGTCGATTGGTTGAACGTGGGCTGCACTCACGGCGTCCGTTAAGAAGACTGCCATTGACCCTACAGTATAGACGCCAACGTTTAGAATGGCGCCGGGCTGGAGCGATGTGGATGACAGAATGGCGAAACATCGTGTTTTCAGATGAGTCACACTTTTGTTTATCCAGTGACAGTCGCCGCATACGTGTGTGGCGTCGACGTGGAGGCAGATCTAATCCGGCAGTAACTGTGGAACGCCCCACCGCGCGACAACGGGGCATAATGGTTTGGGGCGCTATTGCCTACGATTCCAGGTCACCTCTAGTTCGTATTCAGGGCACTATGATGGCCCAACGATACTTTGATAATGTACTGCGGCCGGTGACAATCCCCTACCTTCAGGGGCTGCCTAATGCAATTTTTCAGCAGGATAACGCCCGACCACACAGTGCTTGCGTCTGCCAACATGCTCTGCAAGGTATAAAGATGCTTCCCTGGTCACCGTACTCTCCTGACCTGTCACCATTCGAACATGTGTGGGATGTGATTGGACGCCGTTTGCAGACTCTGCCCCTGCCTCGTTCAGAAGACGAGCTGTGGCAAATGGTTGAAAGGGAATGGAGAGTCATCCCTCAGGTCACCATCCTCATTCTTATTGACTCTATGACCTAGACGTGTTTCTTCGTGCATCGCTGCAGCGGTGGTCCTACATCCTACTGAGCCGACGCTATTCTCGCTCTGTATTCTGACTATCGTTTTGAAATAAAGATCACTTATTGCTGCTTGCTGTCTCTGTCTTTTTTCCAAATTTCATCACTTTCTGACCACTCCTTCTTGGTGTTGCATTTTCAATGTCGAGCAGTGTGTTTAAAAAATGATTTAGATTATTTTGTTGCAGATCTTCTATTAGCAAAATAAATTTGGTTTTTATATGCGTCTATGCAGCTGATCATATCAATTACTGTTTTATTTTTACCTTGTAATTCTAAATTTAAATGACTAAATTTGAAGTAAAATCAGTACGAAATGCTAAGTCACTAAGCCAAGTTTCATCATTTAAGTTTCCATCTTGTTCGTGAAGAAAATCTATAATTTCAGGCAATAAATCACGTAATCGCTGCAAAAATTTACCTCTTCTTAGCTATCTGATATTGATATGTAGAAATAATTCAGGCAGGTCTTCATGGAGTTGCAGTTGGAAGAAACGCCGTTTGAGGGAAATTCCTCGAATTGAATTAACAATTTTAAATGCTGTGTCCATTACCTCTTTTGTGTTTAGTCTCTTGCTAGCTAACACTTGCTGGGGAATTTTGCAGTGATAGCTTTTTATTTTTATTTAAAAAGGCAGATAATTCATCTTCCTTTAGATATAGGGCTATAAATCTATTTATGCTACCTATCATTTCAGCTGCGCCATCCTTTGTTATTGAGACTAATTTTAAAAGTGGTACTTTCAGATCATTGAGCAAGTATTTAAAGGCTTTGAATATGTCTGCACATCTAGACCTTTCCTTCAAAGAAATCCTACCCAACAATTGTTCTTTATATGTAAAATCCTTAAAAACCATACGAACGAAAACAAGTAATTGTGCTGTATCACTTATATCTATCGATTCAACACGTTGAGGTAAAAAACAAGAACATCTATTAGTATCATATACGTAATTGCTCTTTTACATTCCCACTCATCCTTTCAATTCGTCGCATCACTGTGTTTTGAGACAACTGTAGATCTTTAATTGCTGCAACAATTTCACTCTTGTTCTTAAAATCGTTAAAAAGTGAATCTGACATTTCTAAAAAATTTCCTTTACAAATTCACCGTCGGAAAATGGCTTACATTTTTTTTTTTTTTTTCCCTAAAAGATAGCTTGCTTTGAATGATGCAGTTGTTACTCCTTATGACTTCAACTTTGGCTTTTTAAAAACGTTTTCTTGATTTGCTAATTCAGTTTTAAGATTCCTAACTTTATGTTTTCTCAGTTCAGAATTTATTGGATAATCTGTTTGATACTTGTTATGTAAAGCTAAAAAATGTCTAATGGCTACTGAGGTAAGGCATATTAAACAACATTTATCATTCAACATTGTAAACAAGTAATCGAGTTCCCATTCTTCATTGAAGTGATAAGTTTTCTATTTTTTCGGTTTACTACTCATGTTCATGGGTATACTAGAATGCAAAGAAATAAGACATTTTAAAGAATAAATATTGAATTAAATATTTTTCTAGAAAATTAAAAACTCAAAAACTACTGCTATTATCTCCGTTACATTTGAGAGAAATGATAACAATACTGCATACTACGATTGAACTCAGCAACGCAAGTGTATTAAAATCTAATAAAGATATATTCAAATTTACAAGAAGTATATTAAATTTACAATATATTTATTACGGTTTAAATACTGAAATCATAATTTAAATAGAATAATTGTTATTCCTAATATATGTGTAATACTGTCTCTTATATAGTAGGTATGAAAGCTCTGTCAGACTATGACGATGAAGTAGAATTATAGGAAGATTATAAAATAGCAGCAATAAAGGAAGCGAAAAAGGCTTAACATATTGCGCTTCTTTTTTAGGGTTTTGTGAAAATTGGCCCTGAATTATTCGTTTACTCTTTTCTTCTCCCAAAAGGTCTCAAAGAAAGCCAAACTTTACTAACTCATTATTTTTGCTATTTCAATTATATGATTGATAGCATTTTTACTTCCTTGTACGAAGTAAAAAGGAAGTATTGTAATCGCGAAAAGTTTCAGGCAGCATATTTCAACGAAAATATCCATTTTGACCGCTATCGAATGCAATTTTAACGATGTTTTTGCGTGATATCTGTACGTAAGGACAGAATAAAATACTCTTTTCCTCCAAAAAAATTATAAAACTGCTTTAAAATTAATTCTGAAGAGAATTTTTCGTGGCGTCTGTACGAACGTATGTACGTACGTGCGTACGTACGTATCTCGCATAACTCAAAAACGAGTAGCCTCAGAACGTTGAAATTTTGTATATAGGACTGCTATAACATGTAGATGTGCACCTCGTATTTTGGTTGCAATCGGCCGCACCAAACGTATATAATATATTATATATATCCACTCTGTTACCCGGCTCAGTGATCTCAGTTTCTTTACTCTTATATGTTTGTAAATTGTACATTTTTTGCTTTAAAAATGATTGAATTATGTTGTTTTTATCTTTCCGGTTTTAAGGTTTTTTATGCCTTTAGTAAATCTGTATGCAATATTTTTAGAATTATCAGCAATTTTAAAGTTGTTTAAGTGCCGCTAAGCCTTTTTTGATGGCGGCCATTGATTGTTTACATTTGAAACAGGAGACTAGTGGATTTGTTGCCAATCTAGAGAAACTTAGCTTCGCAACAACAAAGATAACGCCTTCATTTATTATTGCCAATTAAATCATGCTTAATCCTTTCTGGAATTTTTTCGAGGAAATAAGCGTTTAAGATTTACTTCGTAATTTTTAATATAGATATTTTGAGTTTTTATGTATTTTTGCCTTCTCGCGAAGTGAGAACTGAATTAATTGAATGAGAAAATACTCAATCGTCTGTGAAAAACTGTTCTTTTTGTTTTGTTTGCTTAATTTCTTTTATACATCATTCTAGCTTTATTATAGTATTTGAATAGAACATGTGGCAACGATTAGATAATTCTATTCTTTAAATGATATAAATTTTGTGCATTATGAGTTATAATATGAACGAAATATACAAGTTAAATGTTATATATTATTGGATTATATAACAGTTAACTTAGTTTCCGTTATATAATATTATATAAGTTAACTGTTATATAATTAATTATACTGTTTAGTGAATCTAGCGCCAGATTGTCGCTATGGTAAACAAATACTAGAGTGAATTTTAAAGAATGCATTTATTTTATTGTGGTTTATTCGCTGTCGGCGAAGTAGATTTAATTCAATACAATAAGTTTAAATGAAATACAAGAAAAAAGGCGTATAATTTAATATTCCGTACAAGGAAGTCATGTGGTGTACACATCAGATTTTTTAATTAAATGATACTACATTGAACATTCAGTATTTTGCAAATGGTGTTTTTCTTAGGAAAGTAATAAAAGAGTCAAGAATTTCATTAATAGTTTTATTCATGAGCATTTTTTGAAACAACTTCAAACACTGAATAAAGTTTAAAAAATGTAAACACTTTTCACTGAAGTACAGTGTCCTGTATTTCTTCTGTTCTTATATAGAAAGTTTGTTTTCACTTATGTTTATCAAATATATAAATTTACCTGCAAAAGTACAATTATTTTTGACACAATGGGTTTTGAAGATTAAGTATTGACTTGTATTCAAACTACGGAAGGACTGTTGGGAACTTGAAGATGAACACTGTAGTAAATGCCAACCATAAGAGCCATGCAGAAAAATTTTCTTTATTACCTAAAAAAAAGTGCTGATATAAGTAACATAAAAAAGTTCTTATAATGGAAAAAAAAAAAAAAAAAAAAAAAAAAAAATACGTTGAAAAGGGTCGCTGTTGATATAACTACCACTGCAAGGATATCTGCTTCGGTTTCAAAATGCCTCTTTGAAAGGGACGACTACTTATCGGTAGAAAATTCCTTTCTCTTGAAATAATGAACATTGGCCATAAACATTCCCTCAGCTGAGGCATTGCTCTGAAGTGTCCAGTTCTAACATTAGTTTCCTTCGATGTGGACATTTATTTTACTTAAGATTTGACTTTTCCAAATTAACTGAAATTTTCTTGCTCACTAGAGAGCAGGAGATCCTCTGTGATTGCTGTAAATTCCCACTACCCTATATTCTTTATTTGTTATCAATTTCATAATAATAACAATTTTGTGAAATATTGTTTCAACACTGTTTTATTCAACATTGTTCCTCAATCGGTTGGTTGATGATTTTTTTGGGTGAAATCTAAGTTAACGTTTTACCTCTTTCCACCAATTCAGTTTTGTTTCCATTTTTTAGCGCACATGCAATGTTCTTAGTTTGCGCAAAGAATGTTCTTTGAATATTCTGCGGAAATATTTTCAAGATAAGATATTACTTTTGTATTTTCTAGTGTCCAGGTGAGTTAACTTCTATCTGGATACAGGAGTAGCAGGAAACTTCACAGAAGAAGGGTTCAGACCCTTTATTAACCCTTTAAAATTTACAATGCGTCAATTCGACGCTAACAAACTTCGCCTCTACTTGGGCGGTAACTGAAAGTCAGATAATTGAAATTAAAAAAGTTGAACTGTTTAACAAGTGATAAACTAACCTACAGGGCTCAGCGAGAACCCGAACTTCAACCCTCTTCTACACTAGTGGCAGAAAGGCAATGCAACTAAGCCACTTGAACCAGCAATCAGCTATTGTACTGCAAGAGAGACGGCTGCTCGAGCCAACTTTCTAACTTCCCTTCTAAAACTTCGGCATTTGAACTTTTCACCTCAAAGTAGAATTTGCATTCATTCATGCGCGCTACCAAACTTAAATCATTGATAGTTAGAAGAATGAAGGCTTATAGGAAAGAACTTAAAATTAACTAAATTATTAGTTAAAATAAATATAAATCCCTACAATTTAATGTTGAAATGAAAGAGACAGAACAAAATATTCTAAGTAACAAGTTAAAATAAGTTAGTTAAATTAAACACAAAATGATGGGAAATTTTCTGACCCGCTAATAATGTTCATATCGCACAAAGGATTAAAAACATAGTAAAATTCTCCCGATGAGATTTCTAAAAGACTAATATTTTTGTAGAAAAGTTTCTGATGTTTTTGTGACTAATTCTTTTGATTTGAACATTATCTGGATGAGGTCTTGGAATTAATCATGGGTAAGGGGGTTGGGACTGTCCATTCACTGACCTTTCGAATAAATGACCTCGTACTGTGACCTCATGGGTCATTGTGGCAGGTATGAGGTAATGCAACGTAATGTAATATACGAGTGTCCGATAATAATCGGCCTCATGGTTAACGCAGCAAACACGACACAGACAAACAAAAATACAGTTAAAAGATTTAAACAAAAAATTAAAACACAGATTAAAATAATACAGTTAAAACATCAAACCAAAATTCACAGTATTGTTCTAAAGCAAATTATAAAGTTCATCAAATCCTTTGCAAATCTAAACTCTTTATTACGGTAGTAGAATTCCTTTATATTATGGAGGTATGAGATAGTTGTTTAATGTATATAGATGCAAATAATTTATATGGATGGGTTATGAGTCAATATCTATCGTGTGGTGGATTTAAATAGAACTACGATGATGTTCAGCTTCATGAAATGATTCATGATATAGATGCTTTCCTCATTTAGATATTGGGTATACTATATTAGAAGTTGATTTAAAATATCCGAAAGAACTACACGGTAAACATTCCGATATCCCGTTAGCCGCTGAAAATAGAATTCCAGTTGCTTCTAGACAAGAAAAATATCAGAATTTAAATCATTGTTGCTCTTTATATAAACTTAAAACAATATTTGAAAATGGGTTTAAAGTTGGAAAACTTCGTCGAATTTTCAAATAATCTCCTTTGTGAAAGAAATATATAGATGTAAATACAGAAGTGAGAACAAAAGCTGCTAATGATTTTGAAAAAGATTTCTATAACTGATGAATAATTCAGTGCTTTGAAAATTAATGGAAAATATTAGAAAGAGATGTGATGATGTGAGATTATACTGTAATTATGAAAAAGATAAAAAATGAAATGCTAAACAAACTTTAAACGGAGGGGAAAATTTAATTACTGTTTATACGAATAAAAATTCAGTCACCTTTAATAAACCAATCTATGTTGGAATAAGTATATTATATTTATCAAAACAATTATTGTATGGCCTTCATTATAATGTTATGAAACCTGAACATTCAAATAATATTCTGGCATTGTATATGGATACGGGTAGTTTTATATATTTATTAAAACTGTTGATTTTTGTGAAACTAGGAAAGGTATGATTGATTATTTTGATACATATGATTATCCAAAAAGTAATAAATATAATATTCCGCAAGGGTAAATAAGAAGAGTTAAAAAACTAATAACTTAAATAAGAAGAGTTGTTAAAAAAAATTTCATTTGAAGAATATAAAGATTTTTTTCTTTAATAAAAATGCGCATTATAGAACCATCAATTAGAAATATAAAACATTAATTGCATTTGGTTAAAGTGAATAAAAATCATTTATCATGTATTATTACATACATATGATAATCATATCACATACATATGATTTTTATAATATGGAATGCACACGAGAGCATTAAGCCATTCTAAAAATTGTATTGTTAACAAATAATGTAAGAATTCAATATCTTGGTATCTTACACATAAGTTCTTGAACTGAATGACTTAAATCCAGGAAAATATACACAGATATGTTTGAAACGCGTCTAATCAAAATATGGAAATTTAACAATAGCTAAGTAAGCAGTATAGGGGGAAAAACAAATTACTAAAGTTGAAAAGATTAGAAAAAAGATGTCAAGAAAGTAAAGAAGTTAAAAGGTGGGACAGCAATCTCTCTGATGAAGCCATTGACAAAATAAATAGCGCGGCTGATATTTCTAATTTCAAACGAAAAATTAATAATAAACTTTATGGTTCCGAAAAAAAAAAAAAAAAAAAAAAAACCCTCTTAAAATTATACTGTATAAATGGATATCTATTGGTCAGAAGTTTCGAAATCCTGAAAGTTTGTTTAAAAATTTTCAAAATGCTGTGGAAAACAAAATATCAGCTATTACACTGGCAACAGCAATTTCGTTATCTTAGATGTGTCGCTTGTTTTTGACTAACTTTTGCCCTCTGAATCCAAAAATAACCTGAGGTATTGTCTATCACTAGACTTGCTATACGTCTTGGTTTAACCCGGACAGTCCTGGTTTTTTAGTATTGTTCGGGGTAATGCCCGGGGTTGCAAAAGTTTACGACTGGTGAGTTTATTTATTTATTTATTTAGACCTATATGTTCAATATCATGTTTTCAAATTCTCTTACCGCCGTGCATTTCTCAGCCGACCTTGGAGCAAGGAATGTCGATTTTGACGGAGGCGTGGCTACCGTACCGCCACAACGTTTTATTTAGTTATTTGGCAACACAACAGGGGCAATGTGTTTATGTTGCTTTCGTGGGTGAAGTAACTCGCTTACACGGCTTTGATAATTTTATCTCTATTCGTTTTCTGTCTCATCATAACAATGGGCAAAAGAAATTATAGAGCACTGGACAACTTTTATTAACCAAAAATGATTTTCAGTGCGTTTTTGAGGGCTTTTACCTTAGCTTCTGACCTAAAACACGTATTTTTGAGTCAAAATTACTGAATTTTTTCCATTTTATTATGAATTTTCTCTGATATCTTAAGCGATGAGGCAGTTATCTGTTAGTTGCTGACTATATATGCACCGGTTTCGTGATTCAATCATTATTCATACTTTTCTTTTTATTTATTTATTCATTTATTTTTATTTAAGGAGATTATATATGAACACAGAGGATTTGATAGATATTCAGTTATAGCTGTCTCAAAGCTATCATAATGCATAGATTAGGAGTCTAACTATTTCTAAATCATCATTTATATTTACCATAATTTAATTAAAACGTGTTTTTATATCTTACATGATTCTATCTCATTACCTCCCTAACGACAACTAAAACTCGAATACTTCTGCATTTATTACAAAATATAAATTAAATTCTTAGGTTTAATTAAACACATCTGTTAAATAATACCTCTTTTAAATTAAGAATTCAATGAATATACTAAATATTACATTAAAATACTACATAAAAGTCAAAAAAATTACTAAGCAATTGTTACTTTTTTTTTTTTAAAAAAGGGAAAAATGACTATTTCCTTATTTTGTGATTTCTTTTAAAACAACGCTTTCCTATTTTCTTAACTTTAATTTTTCTGCCTAGGTCTCAGGCAATTTTATATCTTATTAGGAAAAGATAAAAATGTAATAAAATTTCTAAAAATTAACAAATAATATATAAAAACATCAACTCAATAAAAAAGAGGGAAGTTTCCTTGCTACACGGCTATTCTACATGCAGTTTTCAAATCTTGATTTATTGTTGCAGTGAAATGTAGATAACGTCTTGTCAGTAACGTCTCTTTTAATACTTCTTAGTTGAAAGGGCTGATAAAATATGTAAAACATTTAGTATATTTGCATTCCATAAACAAATTCCATAGTTTCTTATTTATCTCTTTCAGTTTCGATAAAATCTACCAAATAAATTGAAATAAAGGTTTTCATATTTCGCTTAAGGAAGAGTAATTGAAAACCTATTACCTAAAGCTCTTATTTCTTTGGTAGTGACAGCGCTTATGTGATTGATGGTAGCGACGCACTTAAGCGTGACTTTACCATTATGCAATACGTCTGGCTTGAGTCGGAAACGCAAGGCCAAACTTGTGCTCTCTAGTTGATCGGGGTACACGATGGTTTCTTGGTCGGCCAACTCGGATTGTGCCTGAAAGGAAAGGAATTTTTCTCTGTTATATAACTGCAAACAAAAGTAACAAAATTTGATTTTATCAGTAACGCACAAATTATGCGACTTTGAATACATTATGTAAGAATTGTTATTATTTATTAAGCTCCGTTCAATGATGTCAGTTTTTGTTTTATCCTTCAGATTTGTCACAAGCATCCCTAGTTTAAGACCTGTTTAAATTAGGATGAAATGTTGAAGAAATTCTTTCCTTTAAAAAAATTTCTCTTAAAAAGCATATTCTTCTTTTTACTAACATAGGCCTTTCTTGAGAAGCAAAGATGTTTAATGTGTCAATCTTATAATGGTCATCAAAGGTAAATAGTTAAGATATTGAATCAAGGAGAAGCTTAAAGAGATTATTGGAATCGAATCAAGGAGAAGCTCTTAATCTGACTTCATGTTTTCTGTCAACGTGAATGCGTGAATGCTCTTTATAACGCGAATAAGAGTCAACTTCCCTTATAAAGTTTTCTAAAAAATAACCTTTCTAAGGCAAAAAGCCATCAAATGCTTTTTAATAACAAGTTGTTTGTTGTGTTGCATCTTATTTGTCTGACAGTAATATCAAAACAAGCCAGGGAATTCTTCGGGGCAAGGAGTGCCAGATTGCGCCTATTGTGGCAAGAGCCTAGAGCACCATACAGGTGGTACGACTTTTCTCAGTTTCGTTCCAATTTTTAATGGAAAGCACACTGGGGGATGGGTACGAAGGTAGAGGGTCTTCCATTTCCCTACCCCCAACCTCTCGAGAGAACTTTCGGCTCGCCGCATATTTAGAGTGCCCCCGTGCAGCACAGATAGCATACATTTACAAACATCCATGCCTTCTCCGGGATACGAACCCGTGCTTTTCGGTAAGGCAGTCAGCATCGCTAACCACTATCACGGTTGGGCTGGTAATAATAAGTAATAATGATAGCGGATAGTAGTAACAAGAACACAAGAGTAGGCAATCAGCTGTTTCACTTGAAGCCTTCAGTGTATGCTTATCAGAGGAAAAAAAGTGGTGGCATGTAATAAACTGTATATAAATATTACTGGTTACGTTTATTGCCAATGGCTTTGCCCACAGAGTCATGCTGCAACTTATTTTCCTACGGCTCGATTTTGGTCATATTTTTATAAAGAGCTGGTATCAAATGAAATTGTAAGTAACTTCTGAAATATTTGAAATTGGTGGACCACACTGAAACACAAAACTTTCTAAATTTTAATTTCTTCATTTGAATGTTTAATTTTTTTCCACCGCTTTTTATCCAATAGCATGTAATTTACGAAAAATATCGTTTTTCAGAACAATAACATAAGCTGTAGGAAAAGTTTTCAAATTCATTTAATTATAATTAGGATGTCTGTTTTTGATTTCTATGTGAATTTATAGAACCCATAACTGAGCCCTAGGGAGAAAGATTCTGAAGTTTATCGACGACTTCAAAAGAATATTGTGTTGGATATATTTAGAAACTAAACATTATTGGTTAAAGGATATGATGCTGTATCTAATTAGAAACTATGGGAGGAAATATAATTCTTATTTTGTGAGTTCGAGAACAGCATGGAACTCAGAAATGGAATGAGCGATTTTTGTAACTGATTTGGGAGTAATGGGAAGACTTAATACTGATTTTAATTTTCGAGGGGTCAGAAGCTGAGGAATCTTCAGGGATACCATCAAGTTTCAGTGTCATGACTCCATTTCGAAATCTGGACACTGACGTTTCTGTTTACCATAAAACGTTTTTCTCTCTGTTTGTCATTCGAAACAAAATCATGTCACCCTGCTAAAAAAAGATGGTTTCTTTTTACCGTTACATATACTAGGCTTCCCAGATTTGTTCTTCAAAATATTTTACATCTTAGGAATTGAATCACTTGAAATCGATTGCCGTTCATAGAGGATTTTATCTCACGTTCACTGAGAAAGCCTTTAAATAAATTTCCTCTTGCCATTATGAAAGATACTCTTGCATTAGAAATTACAATAATCCTTTAACTAATAGAAGGATGAATTGGGGTGACTATACCCTTGTAGTCACTCCATTTCATCTTTTCTCAGTTAAAGAATTATTGGGATTCACCACAAGTTTAATTTTTAAGATATTTGTCACTTATCGCTGAAGTTTAGCGTTCGATATTTAAAGATCAGATGGACCAAGAAAATATTGAAATTGTGCATCAAGGAATACAAATCCTACATCTGAACCGTAAAAAACAACTTTCGTAAAAAACAACTTTTGTCATCGATGAGCACGTAACCACTGTTTTTATATTTATTCTTCAAAAATTATATACAAAACTAGTGAGATGGATACATTCAAAACATTTATATCCTTGGCGTATGACATTAATTCCAATCCAGTGCTTTAAAATGCTTTCAAAACTCGAATAGGTTTGCTTTTTCACATCTTCATTGCTATTTTTGTCAACAGATGGCACTAAATTGTTTTTGAGTAACTTTCCCAAATAAATTTCTGTAAAATGACTGTGTTTCCATCCATGTTTGCAAAGGTTTTTTTTCCCTCCAGAAACAGAGACAAGGCTGCTTTTCCGCTTGATTTTAAGGACTTCAGATTTTAGCAGATGTTCATCAACATATGAAAAATATGGCTGCAAGAGTTTTTTTTTGCAATGTTATTGCACGGGACATTTAAAAATATCGTATTTATATGTCAAAATAAGTCAATGATTGAAATTTTAACTTAATATAAAAGTATATAAATAGGGGAAGAAAGTAAAACAGTTATAAAAGAAGGCTTAATATTTGCTAAATCGTTTTTCGCTTTCTGCATAAGAATAATATAAAATGAAGCTCTTCAGGATAAAACAAAATAAAAAACGGATCACATTTTTATCCTACATGCATAAAGTCAAATGCAATCACATTATGCTTTAACGAGAAAGTTTCTAAATATTTGCTTTTATTCCGCAACCCATAATCCAGTTTCAAAGCTTCCATTACAAATGTTCGCTGTCTCCCATGAAAACATTTAGAAAATCTGCTTAATAGTTTCTTTCCTCTTTGAATTCAATCCTATTATCTTCAGCATATTAAACTGAAAGAATACCTTTCACAAAACGGAATTATTTGAAAAAATGTGAAAGTTGAGAAAAAACTCCATTTTTTATGCTGTGGAGGAAAAAGCAAAGTGAAATATAATGGAAACAGTACTTTATAGGAAACATTGAGATAAGCAAAATAAAAATCTTTTTTTTTTTTTCAAATCTTTACTATGAAACAGAAAATGTTACTATGAAACAGAAAATTTAAAAAGGAAACAAAAAGAAAGAAAGAAAGTAAGATTTAAGACTGAAAATTTATGAAGTCATAATTTGATTTGTTTATGGGTTCTTACATGATATCTATATAAATTCTGAAATTAGAAAGAAGCGAAATATGAAGACATTTCATTCATTATAAAGGGTAGCCATCTAACTTTTGGAATTTAAACCGGCTATTAAAAAAAGGATAAAAAAATCACTAATGAATATTTTATAAAAATTATGAGTTTATTAGAAAGATTGGACAATTTCATTTAAGAATGAAACACAACATCATTCAAATGACTGCCACAATTAGTTTGACAATTCGATCAAGCCAATTTTTCAGTACATTTTCGATTTTTTGGGCTCCAGCCGCATGAATGGCAATTTCGATTTCATGTTTCAAGGTATCAATCGTCTCTGGGTGGCTAAAACTTATTGTTAAGGGTTCCCTACAGAAAAAAAAAAAAAAAAAAAAAAAAAAAAACCAAGTGGTTTTTGTTCTGGCGGCATCATTGGGCCATTTCTTTTTTTCAAAATGAGCAAGGAGCCGCCGTTACCGTCAACATCGAACGTTACCGTGCCATGCTAAACGAATTTTTGTTTCCAAAAATTGAAGAGAACCACATGTATGACATTTGGTTTCAACAGGACAGGGTCACTTGCCACACAGCCAACGTAACCATAGATCTTTTGTGCAGTGTTTTTGGAAATCGAATGATCAGCTGAAATGCTGATGCCAATAGGCCGCCTCGAAGTTGTAATTTTACCACCCCTCTTTTTTGTGTTATGTTAACCACCCAGAGACAACTGATGCCCTGAAACACGAAATCGAAGTTGCCGTTCATGTGACTGGAACCCAAACAATCGAAAATGTACTGAAAAATTGGGATGATTGGATGGGATATTGTGAAGCAAGCACTGGCAGTCATTTGAATGATGCTGTGTTTCCTTCTTAAATGAAAATTCTAATTTCTAATAAACTCATAGTTTTGAAAAAATATTAATTTTTTTAATAGCCGATTCAAATTCCAGAAGTTAGATGCCCCCACACTTTATAAGGAATTATCGCATTCCCCATCCCTTGCGTGCATTGTGGGGAAAATTATCAGCGCGCCTAGCTAGCATGTGGAAGAATTGTATGTTTCGAATCTTTAGGGCACAATCAATTGTTCACGGTTTCTGCTGAAAAAAACCTGATAGTTAATAAAAAAAATTAAAAATTTACGAATAAAGGTAGATTTTTAATTAGTCGTTTAGATTGTAGAGACATTAGGATTTTTTGGAAACAAGATAGATGAAAAATGAGCAATCGCCTTCGCCGGGAATCGAACTACGAACTTCTTGAATACCGGCCCAGGGTGCAGAACCACTACACCACGAAGGCACGCTAGGAAGGCGGGAAAAATACCTTATATACTCCCTCTTTTAAAGGGCGACTGGGATTTTTAGGGGACCCAATCGCCAAATCCTGGGTGAGGAGAATCATCATCCAACACCCTTTTAGTTCGGGCGCCACTGTAGAGAATTTAGGTATCTTTTGGAAGCAGGTAAAATGAAAAATGAGCAAACGCTTTCGCCGGGAATCGAACAACGGACCTCTGGAATACCGGCCCAACGTGCAGAACCACTACACCACGAAGGCACGATAGGAAAGCGGGGAAATACCTTATAAGATGAATATCTGAATAGCCATTCAGATCTGAAGACTCTAA